AAACAAACCTGATTAAGTGTAGTTATCTCCGAACTACAGAACAAGTACCGTTCAATGAACGGTATTCAACAAGGTTACGGTATCATGGGATAGTGTTTTACAGTGGTGAAGGGATAGGAAAAAAATCTACTGCTGTAATAAACGTGCACCCACATTACCATCATTCTTTTTCAATTTGGCAGCTTCTCCTAATGCAGTTGCACCCATGTGATTTGTTTACTCAACAAAAAATCACGAGCCTGATTTGGATAATCTGAAACAAACGTGATTAAGTGGAGTTATCTCCGAACTACAGAACAAGTACCGTTCAATGAACGGTATTCAACAAGGTTACGGTATCATGGGATAGTGTTTTACAGTGCTCAGTGAGTTCGCAGTTTTCTAAACGAAACATTACAAGCAGAAAAAACAGTTACCACAGTCTGTCGATCTTCAACCTATAGAATTTTCTCTGGGACTATATTACGGTGAACCATTACTGAAAGAAATCCGAAGTTATCCAGGAACTAGAGCAATTGATCTTGGAAAAGCGTTCCTATATTTTTACGGAAAATCTACTGGTTAGATGGTTAAGTTAGGAAAACTGTGCGTTTAGAGGAGATTATGTACTAGATAGCGCACAGATAACGCAGATGCCTCGGAATGGACCTGCAGCTTGCGCTAGTGAAGTCTATAAGAAGCTTGTAAAGCATACAAGAGCAAATTGTCCCAGATTCGTGTAGTCTTGGTGAGAAACTGAAAGTTTATTGCTACGTCTCACTTAATCGGATTGAATAGGTTGATATTTGGTGAACTGTGACGCGTACAACGGAAATTCTGTCGAGTTCTAATACTATACAAGAGAAATGCAATAACGAAGCTCTTTAACAGCCCACAGAAATATGCTCTTCACTGGCAGTTTGTGTGTGTACCAAATTTGTGAGCCAAAAAATACCATTCTAGTTAGATTTATCTGATGAGGAATTCGATAAATTTTTAAATTTCCAAAGGAGTTTGTGTGCCTTTTACCACTGTTAGTGTTTCCAATTGAGTACTGGCATCTGATCATGAATTGTCCTACTGTGATGCACAGTCTCGGCTTCTCGTATTTAGTCCCCATCAGTGCAGTGATATGTCGCCGTAATATAATGCAGCTCATTTAACATCAAGTCATACAACTCTCCAGTGGAAATTGTGCACTGTCAATGCGACTTTACTATACTAAGAACTATTTGTTGTTTATCATGATAGCCGATGTGGAAGTACATTGTCGCTGACTTTAATTGTAGTAAGTTCTTCGAAGGCGACCTCAAATTATAGGACTGTATTCTCAGTACGTTGCACAAAATACTGAGTAAGTAGATGTTTCAACAACAAGAGTGACAGGTCAAGCAAAACAAAACAAATTAGACACCTTGCCTGCCATCCTAACAGAGTAGCATTCATGAGAGAGTGAACATCGTGCGCATCCAGTGAACTATGGCCGTTTCTGATAGATAAAAATGGCTGGACTATCAGAGCGCAACAACGCACCTTTTAACTATATTTCCGAACAAATCACAAAATGTTTAACACCCAAGGAAACTTTTGGATGAGGCGCATTAATAAAACCTGTTCGGAGTGGGAGAATTTGTCACTAGATCTTTGGATAATTATATTTTAGGAGCTTTCCTGTGCGAAGATAAATTAGCTTTAACCAGGGAGAATTCCAGTAAGAAAACCTGAAGACTGGACGTTCGAAAACGAAGTCTTTCTCACTATGAAGCGTTCAATATGAAAATGCAAATTGGACATATTACTACTACCAGGTGATTCACTAATGAGATGTCCACATTCAAGTTTCCAAAATCTACATCATACGCCATTTCATTCATATTTTGTCCACAGAAAATGTACCCGCATAGAAACGCCTGCATATGTTGTTCAACTGTCATCTCAACAAGAGAGAGGTGTGAATTACCAGGCATCTGTTGCTTCTTTTGCATCTGGTTAAAGTAAAGTCAGGGATCTCTGGATATTTTGGGTGACAGAAGCCAGGCTGTCATGCATTTAGTTACTTCAATAGCTACATAGGCTCAAGAACTCATTAAACTCGACTACTGTGTTCTGCTGATTCATTTTCTAGGCGGTTTAGATCATATATCGGAATAAATGTAATAAAAGTAAACTAGTCATGATAAGTGGATGTACGTGCGTGCTAATCGGGGCAAAGGTCATACAACACAGCTCGTTATCTGGGTTACGTTGGAGATGTGGTCAGTTCCGTTGTTTGGTCAGAGACAAGCGCTAGTCAGCTTAGCTAAAGATATTGAATAACTATCTTAACTGTACGAAGTTCAGGTGTGAGGATTCAGACGGAAATAGCTTCGGCCATCGCAAGACTTTGTAACCTGACTCTCTTTTCCCGGTTTTAAGGCAGCCGTTACACGGTCGTAAATGTAACATCTTGACCAAAGGTATGCCTCGTGTCGACTATATGGGCTAGGGCAGAGCTCTGAATTTCCCACTTACCTTCGAGGACGAGCCCTTTTAAACAATGTTCTTCGGCCGACCAGACTACCCACGGCGCTTGAATTCATAAACAATTACTGGTCGGTGCTGTCAGTTTGCTCTTATTTGTGGGCGTAAAGTAGGTGAAGTTGAGAAGCATCGAATTTTAATCGCATTGAAAGCGGATCTCACAGACCTGTATGCACTTCTGGTTGCAGAGCCGCCCTTGAGTGAAGGTACCAGAACAGGTAGTTTGCGATCGGGAATTTGGTTTTGTTCTGCATATTTCGTGATATATATATATATATATATATATAGTCTCTAGTTGCGTCATATTGGCGTTCCGGTGGGTCGTATGAATATACTTTTTCCAGGCCCTGAAAACAAACAACGGGCGTGTCGAATTTTCCTTGACCTTATGATAATTCCCCCATTCCTTTGCCTATGAATTTTTGACCTCCCCCGCAGTCACAGGCCGCGCGGTCACACGGACCTCAGGAGAAAACAAGTCAAGGTCAACAAACGGGATAGGAACGCGCATGGGTAACTAGGTCAGCAGCACACATTCACACAGACTTGCATGCAAATGTCGGACGGGACAGCCTCTGCGGCAATGTGAGTGGCGGACAACGATAAGCAAAACAACTGGAGGTCAAAAATACATAGGCAAATGAATGGGGGAATTATCATAAGGTCAAGGAAAATTCGACACGCCCGTTGTTTGTTTTCAGGGCCTGGAAAAAGTATATTCATACGACCCACCGGAACGCCAATATGACGCAACTAGAGACTATATATATATATATATATATATATAGTCTCTAGTTGCGTCATATTGGCGTTCCGGTGGGTCGTATGAATATACTTTTTCCAGGCCCTGAAAACAAACAACGGGTGTGTCGAATTTTCCTTGACCTTATGATAATTCCCCCATTCATTTGCCTATGTATTTTTGACCTCCAGTTGTTTTGCTTATCGTTGTCCGCCACTCACATTGCCGCAGAGGCTGTCCCGTCCGACATTTGCATGCAAGTCTGTGTGAATGTGTGCTGCTGACCTAGTTACCCATGCGCGTTCCTATCCCGTTTGTTGACCTTGACTTGTTTTCTCCTGAGGTCCGTGTGACCGCGCGGCCTGTGACTGCGGGACTTAACACTGTAATTTGCCGGTCAGTGACAGGCTTGCGAACCTATGAATTCCACGCACATGAACAATTAGGTTTTGTATAACTTTGCTCATTGTTGTGTAAATAGTACCAAATGCTCTGGAAAACAAATCGTCCTTTTTATATTCGGAACCGTGAAAACTGTGCGTGGGACAGCTTCGCATCGGGAGTTTCAGCATTAACTATCAAGTTTGCACTATGGCAGAAGCAACACTGAGGGCTAGGTGCGAGGATTCGAATTTTCCATCAGACGGTTCTACAAGGTGTGTAACTCCGCTGATCGTCCACAAACCCATTATCGGTTCTCGCTTGTAGTTTCCATGATGCCTACAGATGAACACACACCGAAATATCAAATTCGTTGTCAGTATCAACAACGCGCACGGTTAACCCGGAGTCAAGTTGCAAACTCCAACGAATCTAATCGAAAATTTATCCACTAATTTTATTAGTCAGTGGACAAATGAACAGGTGTAGTTGCATGACAACGAGTATCTTACTCATCTAATTCAGTGTGGTGTACCATCATGTAAACGAGGGTCAGAATACACACCCTGACCGGCACTGGTTGAACATTAAACTTAGGATGCAAAGACCAACACAAGTTGATTCACAAGCCGATACTCAGCATCTGATAGCCGGCAGCGCCGCCTATATCAGAACTAAATACAGATGGGTCAAATGTAAAACACAGGTACTTTACATAAAGTCCACAAAGTGCGCGAAAAAAGTACATGTGGCTAACAGAATAGGATACCCATCAAACCGGCGGCAACCCATTTTGTGTCATTCAAGTCTTTGACGCTTTTTCAGTGTCACTCTCTACTCAAGAAAGTTCCAAAAACATTAACTACTAGGCGCTTTCGAATCTATACTTCACTATACTATTCCGATGCCAAATTCACACTTTTAGGGATTATCAGCCTTTCACTCACACCTTTGTCCTTGTTCATTTACGGATAATGATTCCACATTGGGCTTACAAGCATGAACGACTTTTCAGGGGAAGATGCGCACATTACGGAGCTCCACAGTATACCACCTTCGACTATTGTAAGCTCGCGGCTTTCATATTTTGATTCTGATCGATCAACCATAGACTAACGTGAGCACACATCGTAATTTGCAACTAACATAGCCGATAACCAATCGGCTGTCAGCATCCTCTGTTGCCATAACAACCTCAAAGGTTTTGTAAAGCAACATGCTGTACGTAGCTGAAGAAATTGTGCGCTTCACCTTTAACAAACATAACCGAATCTTTTGTACTGTGATTGGGGTTTTGCAGCTGACGTTTTGGACACAATCCATCACTGTATCAATTCAATGGCTATTAATGAGTGATTTTAGAATGTGATCGGAAAACATGTCAGCTGAGCCGAACGAAGTCAGCACGGACGATGTGGATGTCATCCTTCGCGCATGTGATGAGGGTAATGTGAAATACTTGGCGGAATTTATAATCAGTGGTGGTGAGCTTAGAGATCTGATTGATTCAAAGGGGCGAAATGCCCTTCATCACTGTGTTGAGTGCTCCAACGAAAGCAATCGGACTAACCTAGAAACTGCGCATTTACTGGGACAGTTAGATCGGATCAAGTGTGCCAAGATAATAATGAAAACCAGCCCAGAATTGATGGACTGTTGCGACTCTGAGGGTTGGTCTCCACTTCATCTGGCTGTGGTACATAATGATTTGGATTTTCTTCGTGCAATGTTGGAGTTCGAGTCATCTCTCGCCGTCAGAACTTACATTCCTAACAACTCAACCGGAGTACAAAATAATGTACCGATCCTTGGTCGAACTGCGATACACTTCGCGGTGTTGCATCAAAAGCTGGAATCGCTGGCTGTTCTCGTTCAGGCACATGTCAAATCATGGATAAGTTTTCTGGATTATCAAGGGGCAACAGCGCTTCATTACGCTGTCCAGTTACCTAGTCCTAGGGAAGAGGAGGCTATCCAGTTACTGGTCAACGAAGGGCAGGCAGATATAAACGAAGTTGATTCGCATGGGAGAACACCACTTATTTGGGCTGCAACCATTGATGCTCCACGAGCTGTAGCGTTACTGTTGCGACTTGGTGCAAAGTTAAATATCAGAGATGAATGTGGCCTAACGGCTCTGCACTGTGCATCTTCTAGAGGGAACGCTGAAGTGGTTCAGTGTCTTTTAAATTGGATCACAACTGCAAACATGGATGACCTTTCGCAAATTGCGACTTTTCGAGATGTTCCGGACAAAGATGGATGTAGCCCTCTGTTTTACTCCGTGACTTTGGGACATAACAACGTGACGAGTGCTTTGTTGGCAGCTGGTGCCAACGTGCACACAGTTGATCGGAAAGGCCGAACGTTGGCGCATTGCTTGGCCCGAATACAGGTATCAAGGAGTGAAGCGGAAGACCACTCAATTATTTCGCTACTCAGTAACTTGGTGTCAGCTGGTATGCAGTTGTGGAACGTCAACCAGTCTGGAGCGACCCCACTACATGAAGCCTGCTTATTGCGAAACGCACCTTTAGTTTCGGGGCTGACTAATTATCCAGGATTTGATGATGCCGTACATGCTCGCGATGCACAAGGACACACACCTCTGCACCTGGTAGTCGCTGCTTCTTGGAGTGAAGATTCTGCCGGTTTGGATATATGCAGGTGTCTGCTGCGACACAAGGCGGACGTGAATGCTACAACCGAATTACCGCAAGGTGGAACAGTGACCGCACTGGATTTGGCAATCATGAATGAAACTGAAGAAGGTGTGAGCAATGGACAGATGCACAAGTTGTTGGATTCTTTTGGAGCAAAGAAAGCGGAGGATCTCACGAAACCCACAGAGAATGTTTTGAAACAGGTAGTAGACCACAAAGAAGAAGCCCAAATCCTTTCGAACGAGATAGATCCGACCGCCAGATCCACACTGATGGCACAAACAAGCAAGCCAACCAGCACTTCTCCAACCTCTTTCGCGGTAACCGAGTCGGAACTTGGTGCACATCCTGCCTGCGAGAAGTCGTATTCCGGTGACAAAAAGCCTTGTGTTCGATCAACAAATAAACTCCGGGCAGGAAGGGAAACAAAAAAATCTAGACGTTCAAGAGCTTTTCAGACTAACAATGAAGCTACCCGAACGCCACTATCAGAATTGTATCCCAAAAACTCTGATTCGGAGGTACACCGTGGACGCTCACGGACTAAGATGCCGCTGAAGTCGAAACCATCCTGCTCACATACAAACCCCAAAACTACTTGTAGGTCCTCTGGAAGCACTACCTCCAGCTCAGTTCGGGTGGCTACACCAACTTCGAGTGATATGGACCATGCATGCAATCAAATCAATCAGAGGCGGAGCAGGTCCAATTTGGATCACTGTAGACGACAGAGGCAACAGGAACAAGGTTTACCTGTGAATCAGGATCCGAAAACTAACACAAGGAATCTTGAGCGTATTCTACCAATAATGTTAGATAGATACATGCATCGTCAAGACTGGGAGTGTTCGCCATTGACTGGCCGATACAGGATGGCAAAACCTACCCTTTCTCCTTACCTGGTACCACTCGTACCCTCCATGAAAGGATCACTGAGTCACTCATCAATTCAGTCAGCAGATCAACGTTCACATCGGCGAACTGGATCAGGGACACCTTGTTATCCTGATAGAAAGACACATTCTTCTTACTCCGGTGAACAGCAACCCAAATCTCATCAGAAAAACAAGCATGAAGCCTTTGGGTGCAGCAGCAATAAGTCACTTGGTCAGGCGCGAACAAAGTCAGAATACTATAAGCTACTTCAGGACTTGGCTAATCTTGAATTACAGCGACATCATCCCCATAAACTTGTTCCGATAAAGCCTATCCAAACTCCAAGGGAATTCAGAAAGAAACCTAGTGATCACATTACGAAGTACAGCTCTGCAATGGGGGGCGAATTATCTCCAGCTGGGCGAAGGGAAGTTTCTCTCAGCCCAGAGTTAGATATAGTGGAAGATAACTCACTAAATCGAAAGCAAGGACGATGTGGTAGGAGAACTCGAGATAAAAATAGCTAAATTAGTACAGCCTTGTTTTGTGCCATCACTACATTCGTATACTGTGAAATGCACTGATTCCCATTGCCATTCTGTACAGAACAATATCTTTAATGGATAATACATTGTGTGTCCAACTTATAGGTAAGTTCATTAATATTTTGAGACAGATTATCATTCAATTCAACTCCTCATTTGTGATTAACTGTAGATTCGCCCTCTATTGATGTATCGAACAAAGAATATAGAACTTCCGAATTATATCTATGACCCAGTTTTCCGCTTTAAACAGTTTGGAAAGTATTTTGTGTCTCAAGGTATTTTTTTATTGCTTGTGCTCCAGATACTGTTTAGAAGACTGTGGTCAGAAGGGTTGTTAAAAAATGCAATTTACATTATAAAGAAGGCGCTGGGTACATGCTTATATTCGGTCGAGTTTTATCAGGATGTAATTAAATAGGGTCTTGTACAATCTTCTACTAACGCGTGTTGAACCAGCCTTTCTTCGTCGCTCTTCTATTCACGTATGAAACGGTGGGCTACGTCTTCAAATCCAGGTGCATCGATTCATGTGTTCATTTTATGATGATAAGATCAAACCGAATAAAAAAAATCACAAAACCGTTTTTCAGCTGAGCACAGATCATTCAGAGTACAGGCATGCAGAACGTAGCTATGGTTCTTGGGGAAGACTGCATGATAAATTTTTTAAAGAACATATACCTACTATCCAGATGCCTTGTGGTCTTTAGAAAAGACCGAAAAAATCAGAACCCTCGGTAGCATCCCAAATGTACATTTCTCTACTAAGGATAAACCATGTTGATATCTTTGCGAATGTGTGTCGTTGTTATGGCTGGTTGGCACATTTGAGGTGGAAGATAATCTTCGGTGATTTCACACTTTGAATGTTGATTCCCACACATAGGCATGGAAGAAAAACACATTCACAGACTCCATTTACTCTAACTCAATGTGTCCTTGTGTGATTATATATGGGATGAAGACATTTGGTTTGAGTGTCTGGTCCCAATTATTAATTGTTATTGTTTTGATCTACTTCACTGTTCAGGATGTGTGGAAACTGCAATTCCGATAGTTCGTCCTGAAGGGTTGATTTCAGTGATGCTGAATTGTCCCCAGGTAGCTGAAGAGCACCATGGTATAGATCTTCTAAGCTTGCAAGAATCAAATGTGCTAAAGGATCTTAAAAAATGGCGATAACCTTTCGATAAACTGGTGGAATGAAAGAATGATTTTGTAGAACAAACTACAGTTATCGACTGAATCTTGTATACAGGCGTGCTGGAAGAACAATAAGTAACCAGTAAAACAAATTCGAAGCACACAACTGTGTCAAACACGATTCCATGCGCACCTGTGATGAGTCTGTTGTCATAGGTGATTTGCTTATGAATCAGCGACAGTGAGAATACGAGCACTATTTCTTAGCTGAATCAATAAACTGAATAAACTATCTGTACGAGTTCTATGCAAGCTATCTACAATTTTACTGAAAACTGTCTTTATTCATTGCTTTTTGCTTGTGCATTCAAGGATCTGGTAATCAGAAAATCGTTAAGTTGGATTTCCGAGCTGGGTATTGCCTTAGAACATGCTTCCATTACTTCCTATGGAGTCAGTAAAGCACTCACTGACATTCACATAGTCCAGAAGAGTTGTATCCAAAAGGGAGAAAATTCGAGCAGTCTGTAACCACAAGGCAAAAGCAAGTTGTCGGATTTTCCTTCCTTAGCTGATACACAGAGGCCAACAGAACCAAGAAATCTGGGACAAACGCGTCAAGTGGCATCTCGGTGGTAACTATTGAGCAGGTATACTGCATTCTGCTCAACCGGTGAAACGTCATCTGAGTGACACCTTCAGCAGTCCATCAACACGAAACATTTGACATGCGATGACGACAGCAGTGACCAAACCCAATAACTTTTGGAGCGAGGTTCTGTTTATTTTAATCGGTTATTTCCACATCCAAATATTGTCATAGACATTGACAGCAGTTGCAGCACGTTACTGATAGCCTGAGAATTTTCGGCCCTCTGTAAGCTGAGGATACAGAAATATTTCACCTCATCATGTACAACCAGGTTTTCTACTGAGGCGGTCCAATAATTCTCATAATAATCTGCTCAACTACTGCGAATGCGCATCAATTCAAATGGACTGCTGTGGATGCGAAATAGTAGCCAGGTCTTTCACTCAAAATATTCAGGTGACCACGTGCCCCGTTGTCATGACAACACAAGCCTAAGCGTTAAACCACCAGGCTTAGTTATGACGCAGTAGGCAGACGACACAGAACACTGGTCTTTAATTTCTCACCTGTGAGGGTATTTGAACAGTGAGTCGGTTATCGTTTTCGAAAACGTTTGACGACAATCGGCAGATTTATTGCTGAGCAAC